AGGGGGGGGGGGGGGGGAGTTTAACAAAGCGTTAATTAATAAGTGGCGGACATTTAACGCGTTGCTATATAATCGCCAATATTCACTCCCCAAATTCATATGTAGTGATGCGTTTTCAACCTGTTTTGAAACTTCAACATTGAATATTACTTCATTATCTATACTTCAATGTTGTATTTCACTTAAATTTGATATATTCAATATTCAAATTAATATCAATGAGGGAAACATGTTCCTGAAGAATTGGAGCAATGTTTTTATCAAAGCGGTATGCTGAATTTGATATGTTCAATGTCGAAATTCATTTCAATGACAGAAACATTTTGAATTAATACCAACATGAATATTGGCGGAAATCTGACGCCATACATAAATAATATTTAATTTTTTAATCTGCCAAAATAATTTTGTGGTGCATAATTACAAGGAATTCATATAATATGCTAACGATTTACAGTACCTTCCTCCAAAAAATATAAGCTTGAATTAATTTTCGAGGCCATTTACAAATCATTATATATACATGACATTTTATAAAAGTCATTCATCATAATTATAGTGCCAACATTGCGTTCAACAAAAGATCGCTGTGAAATCGAGAGATGTTCAACTCTGCTGTGACAGTCAGCGGTAGTCGTAGTCTCCCTCGCAGCCACTCTTTGAGGCAGGGTGCGATAATTCAATATTTTTAGCCGTACCTGACTGGTACTCCGACAACTTTTGCCGCGTACCTGATCTGGTACAAACTTAAGAGTCATGACGTACCTAAGACTACTTCCGAGTCATGCGTTTTTATACCTACGTATAGTTTACTGGTCCAAAAGCAAAAATGTATGGCAATTTTGTACAAATGAATCTTTAATTATGGTATTTGTACAACATAATATAACAGTTTTCAAAGCGTCGACGTTGTGATTCGAATGCCATCGCTCATTTACAGTGGATTTACCGAAGGTGCGCGCTAACAGTCTGACCTCAGCTACATACAGTGTAGTTTTCCTCATTGGGCCTAAAAAAACCTTGTGGTTCCGGTTTCATATCGCGAAAAAAATAGGGTAGGTAGGTGGGGAAAAATGGTTTTGGCGGGTTTTTGCTGGGCGATTTTCAGTAGAGTCCCGACAACAATATTAACTAGAGATACGTAGTTCCTACGGACGAATTTAGGCAATTTGGTTCAATAATTATTGTGACAACAGACGCCATTTTGGCACGCTGTACGAGCAGCCCGCAACCACCCGGAGAAAATAGGCCTAGGTCGCACGGACAATCGTGTTAAAAAAAATAATAGGGTCGGCAGAAAAAATAGGGTCGGTCGGGAACCGGAACCACAGGTATATTTTTGTAGGCCTTGGTATATCATTGACAATTAAGCCCAGGTCACACCACACAACGATAACTTGTAAACACGCGATGATTGGTAAAAAAATTATGTTAGTGTTCACACTACAACGAAAACGATCCCAAAATATGTCGGATGCGTGGAATTTACATGCATGTACAGCTAAAGTTCTTCACGGTTTTGAATACTTTGGCAGGTTTGCTAGTTATTGCTAGAAGGAAAATGTAAGTACGCGAATAGTAAATTTCCGCGTACCTACGTGGTACTTGGCTAAAAACAAAGAAGTACCAGACCATAAATTTGGCGTACCTCCGGTACGTTGGTACGGAGCCATCCCGCACCCTGATGGCCTCAAACAGAGCCAGGATTTAGAAGCACCTGGAGGACATGATCCCGAGACGGAACCAAGCTTTGCCAAACAGCAACTGGGAGTAAAGAACGATGAGACCAAGTTGTTGGGCATGAAGTGGAACAAGTCCACAGATCAATTAGCAGTGGTATTCCCTGATGTGGAGTCAAAAGAGGACACTAAGAGAACAGTTCTTAGCAAGCTAGCTTCCATATTCGATCCGTTAGGACTAACAGCACCGGTAACCCTATCCGGCAAATTCATATATCGAGACGTGTGCGACTCTCGAGGACTTTGGGACGAAGAACTGCCGGAAGCCATCATCAAGCGGTGGCAATTATGGAATGCAAATCTTCCAGTGCAAATTGAAGTACCCCCAGAAGTCTGGCAATGCATCAAGACGAGATTTGTTCGATAGATCTGCACGCCTTCGGTGATACCAGTCGCCAAGGGACAGCTGCGGCAGTTTACGCGGTGGTAAACCAAAAAGAAGGAGTCACGCAAGGTTTGATAACGGCAAAGGCACGGTTGGCGAGGAAGAACTTAACTATACTCAGGCTAGAACTTGTCTCGGGACAAATGGCTGCCAATCTACTAGACAACGTGAGAAATGTATTGACGAGATTCCGGGTGCACGATTGTTACAGTTGGTTGAATAGTATGGTAGCTCTACACTGGATCAACGGCGAAGGGAGTTACAAGCAGTTCGTACGGAATCGGGTAAAGAAGATCAAGGAAAAGAGTTACATAAAGTGGCGATACGTTGGAACGAAGGAAAACCCAGCCGATATTGGTAGTAGAGGTTGCGCAGGTGACAAAATTCCAAACGAATGGCTCAATGGTCCGCTTTGGCTGTCCAACCCGAGTGACTGGCCACCAGAGATCGCTACCCCGGCGACAGATGTATCTAAGGCTGAATTGAAGCTGGATTAAAGAGCAGTGTTAAGCTGTGCAATGGACGGAGAAGCTGAGGTGATGTACGGGGTACTCGAGAAACATAGCTATTGGAAGGCGATGAGGATAACTGCTTGGATAGCACGATTTCTGTTCAATTTGAGATCGCATCCAACGGAACGGCGTCGTGGAGTGTTAACCACCGAGGAAATTCAAGAACAAGTCAATTGGTGGATAAAGAAAGAACAGTTGCGATACGATGACACTGAACAACTAGAAGAAGATAAACATCGCCTCAACCTGGAGGAGAACGAATCAGGCTTATTGGTGTGCAAAGGGCGAATACCCCACATATATTCCTCCCACATCAAAACTGGCGAAGAAGATCGTGAACATGTGTGCACCTTACATGGGGGAGTCGGAATGACGATGGCTGCGGTGAGGAAACGCTACTGGATCTCACGGCTACGTCAATTAATGAAGAAAGTGAGAAGAAATTGCAACGGATGTAAGAGATTTCAAGTTAACCCCCTTTAACAAACCACCTACAGTACAGGCAACCTAGCCAAGGACTGAACGCAGAGAACCAGACCCTTCCAAGTGATCGGAGTCAACTACGCGGGCCCATTCCTGTACAAGAACCGATCAGGAACTAAGTCGAAGGCTTATCTACTTTTATTCGCGTGTAGTCTTACGAGAGCAGTTCATTTGGAACCCTTACCGAACATGTCGACCGAGGAGTTTATGCATAGTCTAGATTTCCAAGAGTGAGCTAGTAAATGACTTTCTCACGAAGAACAACATTATCTGGCAGTTTAATCTGAGCAAGGCCCCATGGTGGGGCAGTCAGTATGAAAGACTTGTTGGTCTGGTGAAACAATCATTGAAGTCGTATTAGACGTGGAGATTAGCTTAAACGTGGAGATTAGCTGGTGAATTGTATGTTCTTCCTGACGAAGAAGGGGATTCGACGGAAGAAGAGATCAAAAGGTGTGCAAAGCATGTACTGCAAAGTAAGGAAGCTGTATGAGAGCCCTTAGAAAACGACACAACCTTAAACACCAGGGAAAGAATAAAATGCCAACGGTCGGAGAAGTAGTGTTAATCAAGAACAACAGTAGAAATCGCGGTAAATGGAATATCGGCATAGTTACGAAGCTGATTAAGGGACGTGACAGAGTGGTGCGAGGCGCTCGAATGAGATCACGGAAAACGACGATCGACCGGCCGATACAAGATCTTTACCCTCTAGAATTGTCAACCGAGTCAACCAAGCAGGACTGTTGCTTAATAAGGGGCGGAAACCAGCCTGTGTATGCAAGCTGGCCCAGTTTAGGCAAAATAACGCCGATGTTATTTCCTACTAAATCTCATTTAGCGTTTATATGGGAACCGAGCTGGCCCACCTTTAAATTAAGCAAGGTCCTGCCTCGATCGGGGGCCCCGGGCTGGCTCGCTTCAGCGGGCTAAGTGTTATTGCTATGTTCACACAAATATATTTTTGTAAATAAGATTTTTTCGACCAATTACAATCTTAAAATTCCTGTGAATGATTCTGTAGCTTGAGCCAGCCCACCTCAAAAGTCTTGTGTAAATACGGGTGAGCTAGCTCCTAAGGCCTGTTTACACTTGCAATTTTTGCTACATAACAATTTCTAGTGTGATTTTCTTCTTCTGATGGATGCGAATGAGTAAATAAGTTATGAATGCTCTGAGTATATGTGCTCTCATCTAAACATTCCTAACTCATCCACTCATTCACATATATCAGGAGAAGAAAATTGCAATTAAAATTTCTAGTGTGATTTTCTTCTTCTGATGCATGTGAATGAGTGGATGAGCTATTAATGTTCTGGGTATATGTACCCTCATCTGAACATTCATAACTCACCCACTCGTTCACATCCATCAGAAGAGGGAAATCGCACCAGAAATCGCAACAAAAATTGCAACTAGTGTAAACGGGCCTTTAGAATGCAATTATTTTGTGAGTTTTACAATTCAACCATTTGTATCCAGAAGAGTTTATAAATACGTGTGTTGACAGATCAGAGCCCTGACTATGTATTTTGTATCCCAGCACTTCATAGCACTACCTCCAAAATATATAATTTTCTACCAAGAAGTATATAAAAGATATACACCAACATCGACTCCGCTATGGTTCAAATACACATACTTGCTTTTATCTTCGCCTGTTGTTGTGCGTGCGCCACTACGGGTCTTCGGTGGTAGCCTCTTCCTAAAATTTGACATATTTGAAAGTCGATTTTCACATTCTCAAACAGGATTTCAACTTCGAAAGGCCACCGGATAAATAAACGTCTTTGAGTTTGGCGGGAAATCGAGAGAAAACTCCGCGAATGCTTCCATGCATGAGCGGAAATAAAAATTTCAAATTACCGTATATGTATTTGTATTAATAATTCTGGCTTTGTTGAATTTGTTTATAAAACATAAAAATTTGAAAATACTATTGTTGATTATTTAACGAATATTGAGAAAGAGGAATAGTTTACTCTTGTGGTACTGGTTTAATAAATGATAAAATTATTTTTGAATTAAAATATTTTATTTCGGAATTCCACTTTGAAAACTGCAAAATATTCGTGGAAGATATATAATAGAATAGGAAATTTTTGTAATTACGGGGGTGGTGAAGCACTTTTCAGGGAGGGCTTTCGCGTACGAGTGGTACGACAATATATTTTTTAAAAATTTTATTGTTTCGTTACCACAGAATCTATAAAGTTGAGTCTTGACCTTTTGCTTGAACTTTGATCAAGGACGTTTTGATATTGGATATTACAGTAAAGCTGTTTGTTCCTTTTCCTGCAATACAAGTGGAGTTTTGAAATCTTACTCGATCCATTCCGGACCTGATCGGGTATCTTGTTATTCTTGTAGACTAAATACGATCTATGTGTTCATGTGTATATAAATATATATATATATGAGTTTGTAAAAAGTTCTTTTCAAATTATATATCATGAGTACTTTACGTTTTCACGTCGCGGATTACGCTGTGTTTGGTCTTACGTTGATATTTTCAATGGCTGTTGGTATATATCATGCTGTGGTGTCAAAACCATCTACAACCAAGGAATATCTGTTGGCAAGTCGTAAAATGATGAGTATACCTGTGGCATTGTCTTTACTGGCCTCATTTATGTCTGGTATTACTATACTTGGAGTACCGTCAGAGATTTATACATTTGGTATCCAGTATTGGCTGGTAGTTGTATCATACATAATTTTATTCCCAACAGTTGCATTGATATTTGTACCAACATTGTATGAATTGGGTCTCACTAGTTCTTATGAGGTAAATATTGTTCAACTGTATGTTCTAAGGCTTTCTGGGCCTGAGGCCTGGATTGCACAATCAAGATTCAGGCTTGCATGCATTCTATAGATTCTAAGTTAATTTTTTTTTTAAATCTCGGGTGCGCAATTTCCAAACATAATACAGTCACAGCACAATGTTGGATGAAAATTTTGAAACAAAATCAAACTTGATCCAACATCTTACAACATTACCCAACATAGTGTTCAGATGAGGCCAGTAAATATTACATCCAACAATGTCAGATGATGTTGGAACAACATGTTGGCCATTATGGCCAATTATGGGCCTTAACTGGAGAGTTTTTGAAAGTTTATTAATTAATAGTAAAAATTAATGTATACTTGACACCACAATGGTTTCAGTGGCAGATCTGGCCTCATTTGTTAATTAAAGGGGGTGAGGTTTCCAGAGGGAAGTGGATTACTGGGAGGGTCAGGGAGAAATTTGAGGCCCAGAAATGCCATTTCCTACATTCTGAGCACTACATTTAATCATTAAATGTGTCCTCATAGTAATTGTATTTCAGGCAAAAATTAAGAAAAGTAAATATACATAATGTTGTATACCTGATGATCATCATTTTAACCCAGAGGTGAAAAGGAAAAATTATTTTATTGAAATAATCTTGAAACAGCAGCATATCAGCATTTGCAACATGAGGCGTAAAAAAAATACCTGTGGTTCCGGTTCCCGACCGACCCTATTTTTTTCTGCCGACCCTATTATTTTTTCAACACAATTGACCGTGCGACCCTATTTTCTCTGGGTGGTTGCGGGCTGCTGCCAAAATGGCATCTGTTGTCACACTACATGTAATTATTGAAAAAAACATGAAAAAAATATTAAAAAAAAAAGTATTTCCGACCTATCGACCCTAATTTTTTCGCGATATGAAACCGGAACCACAGGTATTTTTTTTATGCCTGAGCACACATCTGATGAGGATATATAGAGTATACTCCTAACATGCATGAAGTACCTATGATGGTGATTATATGCATGTGCATATTGAATGATGTATAACTCCTATGATTTCTCGACAATTTTATTTGTATACGAACTGCTTAAAACTCCTACTGATTGATCCTCCCTAAAATTAATGTGCTTTAACCTGTAGCACGGTCTACACCAACTGCTATGTTACAACTTATATGCATGGTTAGATCAAGTCCTGTTGTATTGGTGCTAATTGAATATTTTCTCACATACTTAAAAACCAATAATTGTCTCAATATAACAAGTAGTGTTCACAACCAGGGACAGATCTTAGAAATCTCATTAGGGAGTACACTCTTGGGGAGTGTACCATTATTAGATTATTCATGGTTATAATTTGTTACTCCAACAGTACAAAACGTCAGTATATGGTTAGGTTGTTTACATGCAACAACATTTTAATTTAGAAGCAAAAATTTGACTGTTTTGCCCATTTGTGAGTTTAGGCATGGGTAATGAGAACCATATTCATCATATTGGAGTCATAGCAATAATTTTATGTAACAACAGTCCCTATAGTTGTTATCAGAATTCTGGATATCGTATTACGTACATCTTAACACCAGACCATGTGGTTCAGTCAATACAAATACATCAATAAAACATTTGCCAATACAAAATAAACATGTCATAAATAGAATTAATAGAATATCTTTATCTTATCACTGTACACTACTACACTTCTTCTTTCCCCACCAAGCAAATCTCGGTATAAAAATCTCTGCACCAAAATTTCTAGAGAGGCTTAAAAAATTTGGTGTCACAGATAGCATCTAAAAGCTTGTTGACAGATTGTGTATTTGAAGCGTGGATATGCTTCAACAGATCTGTGTTTAGCTTTCCTAGCTACTGTATTGGAGATTGTTATTCGTACACACAGACTGAACTCAAATATCTCTTTCAATCTAAATTGTGATATGTGTAATATTTGTAAATGGCAAACTTAGCCTTAAAATAAGCAACAGCAGACTGAATTTATGTTTACTTGATATGACCACATGCTACTGTAAATAAAATATGTTATATGCTACAGCAGTTTACATATGCGCTGCAGCTATAATTGTCTCATATGAATAGTGGTAATAAGAATTTAAATTACTCAAACTTGTCATAGACAAGAGACTGTGTTGGACATGTTGGACAATTTCCCTATTGACCAATGTTCACATAATTTTTTGGCTAAAATTAAGGCAAAGCGGACATCTGAACTTTTGTCCACCTCAAAACCATGAACTAACCATAACTGTCTGCGGCTGAACTCTTATACTGCCTTAATACTTGACTAACACTGTATTGCGTATTGTATGAAATACAGTTGGAGTAATAAAAAGGACTGATAGTGTAACATAGTCGGAGAAATATTTTCAAAATCATTTGTTATCGGAACTAATGAAATAAGAAATTATATGAGGTAGTTACATCCTAGATATAAGATTGCAAAATCTATAATTTTAATACAGGTTTAATACTGTACGTTAGAAATACTTTCTTTATATCACCAATAATACTGTTGAAAACCACAGTCTGTGGCCAAAAGGTTTTCCCAATTAGCCTATGGAGAATCATTGGTTAACAGAAAATCTAAGATAGAAATAAGAGGGAAAATATTTGTAGACTAAATGAATCATGATTGATTGATGGAAATTAGAAACAATTTCTATTTTAATTTATAGTATTTGGAAAGACGTTTTTCTTTTGGCATCAGAATAATTGGAACGACACTGTTTATATTCTACACGGTAAGTCCATCATAATTATTTACAAACTTTTGTGAAAAAGGGAAACAGTTCAGGGATGGGTCCAGCATGATCTGGTAGGGGGTGCTCTGGTGCTGAGTTGTGTCGGTCATGTGCGCTAGTCTTGCTTCACTACTGTATTTGAATTGTAACTGTTATTCCCAGCTCGCTCAAATCATCTCATTTTGCCTCTAATATTTTTGTGCTTTATCATGAAAAATAGCCTCCCCCAGCCCCCCCCCCAAAAAAAAAAAATCAGTAAATCCATCCCTGAAACAGTTAAATAATACATTTAAGCTAATGTTAGCTGCTGTGTTATCTCCTGGGTTTTTTCTGAAATATCCTTCTGTAATTTGTGCGTGCAATTCTTGGGACTTAGCAATTCTGCATGGTGTGTAGGGAGTGGGTTCCTGTCAGTGATGTAGTTTACAAACGTCCACATCACTGAAAATTTATGTAAATCACCATCGGTTTTGACGCAATTTGTTTGCAAAGTTGCTTCAGAAAACACACCCTGATGTTTCACAACTTAGCGTAAGCTGTCTTGCAAAGTAGAGCAAAAACAATGGTAAAACCACTGCCTCATCCCAATGTGAATACATCTCCCTGGTAATGGTATGGTTACTCTATTTCGTTTGCCCCACTTGACGTCTGATAATCAATAAAAAAGGTCAGTTACACTTGAGGTAAAATTATCAACATTGAAGTTCAAATTTCAGATAAAATCCTTAGACACACCCGCATACAGCGCTACGTCCCTATACCTGCATGTGTAATATGAAAACATTGGATCTTTTGAAATTTCAACAGTGCTTTATTTATTGCGTAATTTTAGTTGTTTTATATGGCAATTGTTACTTATGGTCCATCTTTGGCTCTTCAGTCAGGTATTTATATTTGGCAGACGAGAATCGTCTAAGCCGAGAAAATCAAAGCTGAAGTTTATGTAAATCAGGACAAATCTTTATCCGGTTTACAAACATTGATTAAACATTAATTTCTTTTGTATTTTCCTTGTGAATTATTAATGAATTTTTTAAATATACATATTGTTGCGTGTGATTTGAATGAATGTAGTGTACGTATATATATCGTGTTTAGACTCGAAATAACCAACGTCTTTAAGCGGCCACGGCTTGAATAAGTCGTGAACGTCGACACCCATCATTATTTTAGTAACTGGGAAAGCATTAAGAGGAACACCTAACCAAGTTGTGACTGCCAATTCTCTGATGCACTCTCATGCATCCTCGTTTGATCCAGGTTTGATGTGTGGATTGATTCACAAACACGCTGCATGACTTAGGTGATATCTCGCATGGTAACAAGTTGATTTGTGCTTTAACTGTTTCTCTAGTTACCGGCTTACCGATTTGGGTATCTATTTTATCAATTGGCGTTGTATGCACTTTTTATACAACAATAGTAAGTTCATTTACATGTATCAGTAATATTTGTTTTGCTTATATTGTTGGTTCTGAAGATCAGAGTTCATGTTTGCGATGACCAGGACAGGGAAAGAACTGAGAGGCCGTCCAATTGTGTTGTTCCCGCAACATGCAGCCGCGAATAGGAAAACCGCACCTCCTTGGGAGCATGACAATGCATGCGCACTTTTCGTTATTATACTGTAATTCTATATGCTTGTGTGATGTTACTCTGAGTGTATATGCACACCGGGCAGGCTTGAAAAATATGCCTGGCCACAGTGGGATTCGCTCTGCCAACTGAGCTACGCGGTCAGGTCGGTTCGACTATGCGATATTTCGGAACTGAGTCTAGTTCCTTCGATATCAGTGTAATCTAATAATCATGATATTTGCTGTGTTGGTGTAATGTATACTCAGGTGAATATAAAGACGCTTGTGTGATGTTACTCTGAGTGTATATCCACACCGGGCATATGCCTAGCCACGGTGGGATTCGAACCTACGACCTTTGGAATACTAGCGCAATGCTCTGCCAACTGAGCTACGCGGTCAGGTCGGTTCGACTATGCGATATTTCGGAACTGAGTCTAGTTCCTTCGATATCAGTGTATTATTATTATTATTATTATTATTTATATTTAATCTTATTGACACACATATACAACGGTAGCCCTTCAGCAAGTTTATGTACAGTTCCTTCAGGGGTTTTTTTCAGGGATTTTTTAGGGCCGTTAAACGGCCCCAAAAACTCAATCTTGAATTGAGTTTTGAAACTCAATCTTCTCACCAAAGTTTCAGTGCAGTAAAAATGAAGTTGTTTGAGTTAAATTCGTGATGTGTGGAAATTAGTTTTCAGTTGGAAACCCGACAATTAAGAAAAAATGGCTGGAATTCATCTCACAACACAAGAAAAACTATGCATTCGCCATCTTTAACCAGTTTATAGTGTCCCTTAGTGCCCCTGCATGCTTTAACACATTCCGTCTCAACTACATTTATTGAGTACAGGTGTCAGCCCCCCGGTAGGGGGTGGGGTGTAGCCACCCCAGCTGTTCAGCTAAACTCAATCTTCTCTGCAAAAACGGACCCAAGAGAAAATCCTGAAAAAAACCCTGAGTTCCTTGTAGCTGATTTTCAAGGGGCCGTTGATTAATAATAAAGGAAGAAAATAATGAAAATATACAAATATATATATATATATATATATATATATATATATATATATATATATATATATATATATATATATATATATATAATATATATATATATATGACACACGAATAATCCCCCCCCCCCCTTCCTTCACTCAGTCCTCCCACCCACCCTTATAATAAAACATTAAAAACTTTAACAAACGTAGATTGTTAGGGCTAGTATTCCAAAGGTCGTAGGTTCGAATCCCACCGTGGCCGGGCATATTTTTCAAGCTCGCCCGGTGTGGATATGCACTCAGAGTAACACCACAAATATCATATTCACCTGAGTACACCACGCCAACACAGAAAAAAAAATCTACGTTTGTCTGTCTCGGAGCAGCGCTTTAAATCCTGTTAATGTTATACCATTATCTTTAAGTTCTGTTGGCAGTTCATTCCAAGTCTTTACTCCTGAGTAGCCGATACTTTTTTTTAAGAAAATTAGTTTTAGGCTTTTTTATCGAAAAGTCACAATCGTTATTGCGTAAATTATAATTTTCATTATTTTTCACATTAAAAATATCAGTAATTGTTGTCAAGTATTTGCCATTTTTGACTTTGTACATAAAAACTGCCTTATTCTCTTTCCAATTTTCTATCAGTGGCTGCCAGCCTAATTCCTGTAAAATAGTCTCGGACCTAACTTCGTACGACCTACCAGTAATGACTCTTGCAGCCCTGTTTTGCATTTTCTGCAGCTTTTCAAGCGAGTAAACATTACCAATGTCCCAAACAAGGCTACAGCAGTCAAAGTGAGGTTTTAGGCTACTATTGCATTATAAACTGAAATTAATGTTGACTGGGGTACAAAATTTTTCATTCGTCGAATCATGCCTATGACCTTTGACACCTTGATAACGACATTATCTATGTGTATTCCATTTTAGCTGATCATCAATAATGATACCTAAAGTTTTTGTTTCTTTCACTCTTTTTATATTACAATTTCCTAATTTAACTTCTGGATCACCTTCAATTTTGCTAATCCGTTGCCTAGACCCGGCTATCATATATTCAGTTTTGTCCTTATTGAGAGTTAATTTATTGGCCAATAACCATTGATGTATATTTTCCAAATCATTGTTTAATTTTGTTTGGATGTCTATAATCGAACACCCGCTTGCTGTCAGATTAGTATCGTCTGCAAACAAACTGGCTGTAGTCGTTCTTAAACAATTAGGCAAGTCGTTTATATAAATAAGAAACAGTATTGGGCCTAAATTTGAACCTTGTGGTACACCACAACGAATTATTCCAGGTTGGGATGTCACTTGATTTACTTTACACATTTGGTTCCCTTACAGCCAAAGTAAGACAATTTTTTTAGCAAAATATCATGGTCGACACAGTCGAAAGCTTTTTTTAGATCGAGAAAAATAATTCCGTTTAATGAAGTCGAATATGTTGGAAAGAGATAGATAGTTAAAATCGAACAACTGGCCACTAAGCAGGACAACAACTTGAAACACATTTTGTGGCATATATTTTGGGCAGAGAAGTGCTCGAAAACAGTTCCGGCCGAACTGTCTAGAGGCTCTCGCTAACCTAAGTTTTATCTAGAGAAACAGGCGAATCTTTAGACTGCAGAGGGCATGCTTGACTCTGTGCATGTCGTTCAGCGAGTTGAGACCTAGTTGGACTGGTGAACAACTATTGGTATAGGGCACATTACCCAGGGTACTCAAATCTGGCTGAGGATACATGCAAAAACTGTAGGTTGTTATAGAGGAACAGGCGGACCTCTAGATAACAGGGGAACAGGCGAACCCCCGTTCAGACCATCAGGCCGTCGACATTGAGACCTAGTTGGACTGGTGAACAACTATTGGTATAGGGCACATTACCCCGGGCCACAACTGATAACCTGACTGACCACATCGAGTCTCTAGGTCTGCTCATTATATTTTTCATCAATACAAAAATATTTAGAACACAAGTACGTCGTTACATGATTGTGTTAAGCCCGTTTTCTACTAGGCGAAATAGCGAAGCGAAGCAACAAGTAAAAAAGTTGGAACTGATCCAACTTTTTCGCACGAACAAATTGAGTGCATGTTTGAACTTCAATCGTCTTTTTCAGGGAGGTATCAGAGCAGTAATTTGGAATGATGTATTTCAAGCAGTCGTGATGCTTGCGGGTCTGGTGACAGTGGTTATTGTCGGCACTTCCAAAGTAGGTGGAGTGTCACGTGTTATGTCGGTTCTCCGAGATAATAACAGAACTGATATTAGGTAAGTATTTAAAAGTGAGTTACTGGTGCTTTTACCACGTTATCTATGACGTCATCATCTATATCTGAACAGACAACGACAAAACATTATCTGCATGCTTGTTTTACATAGCGACGGAAAGAAATTTGCACGCCATTTGATGTGCTGTATGATCTATACAAAGTAATGCGCGCCATTGGTTCGTCGCACTACTGAGATGGCTGCCATTGGCATAAATATATACGTCACAAAAAATGGCGTCAACCGTGAGTCTGTCCTATAATACATCATGGCTCTCATCCAAAGAAAAGCAGCTTCAAGTCACATAGAAATTTAAAGTAATTACCATACATAAGATGTCATATTATAGTTTATTATTACATGATGTTTACCATTATGATATTTACCATTATGATGTTTACTTTTTTATCAATGTTTAAAGTCCAAACTTTACGTGAAATAGCCATGCATGCAGTTTGACAGAGCACTTAAATGAAAACTGTATAAATCGTACTTATAGATTATATAAAAAATAAAGTCTACAGCCCAGGGGCCGGTTGTTCAAAAGGTTAGCTTAACAAAATCTTCAGAACAATCTTCCCAACAGCTTTTCTAGAAATCGTGTCTGGATGAACAGAAATTTTATTTTTTAAAGTTTTGAAATAAATGGGCGTGCAGAGCTACACAAACCGAAACAGCGGATTAAATTTATATAGCCCAAGCAACTAGCGCTCATGCAATAACAGGGCTGCAAATTAATATTTGACTTGATAGGACATTTGTCTGATCACTTTTAATTTTGGTGGGACATAACTTGAATTTGGTCGGACAAAAACCAACAGCACTAAATTTGGTGGGACATATATACGTCACAATATATTATATAAGCCACGAGACAAGTCTGTATAGCCATTCCGGCGCAACGTTATAAGTAAAATGGTAGAATGCCTCGTAAATTTTATTGCAAAATGCAAATTGAGTGATTTTGCAGTCGGATTTTGTCACAGCAAAAAAATGTATAATGTGACAATTTTTTTGTGATCGGACCAATGCCCGATCAAAATTACTTTTGCTCGGACATTCGCCGAATTTAGTCGGACATTGTCCGATGTCCCACAGTAATTTGCAGCCCTGATAAAGCGTCTTGGTACTATATACCTCTTGGTACATTTGTGATCGTTGGGGGTAAACATTGACTATGCGCCCCTACCTTTTCTCCGAACGCATCTTTACATAACATGGCTCCAGCTCTTAAAATTACGATGCAAGTTGCCCCGCCTATTTTTAATCTTCATTTACATTTTATCTCTTTGTTTAGTTTTAGTTTTGATCCAAGGGAAAGAACGACATTCTGGGTAATGTTCATTGGTGGGGCATTTGCAATTTTACCTTTATGGTCTGTAAATCAAACCGCAGTTCAGAGATTTTTATCTGCAAAATCTCTCAAGGACGCGCAAAGGTGAGACATCCCTGACACCCGTCACTTATTCCAGTCATGATATAATTATATGCCCGCGTGATTATATTAAAAAGGTGTCCGTCTTATAAACCTATTATTTCAGTGATGTTGGTGGATCCCAAGGAAAGTATTAATGATCTATGTTTTGAGGTGGATGTTAGCCTAATCAAAAACTGTACGCTCTTTTCTCTTCAGTGTACTATGCTAATACCTAAGAGGACAATTTTAAACAGTTGTTGCATGGATGAGACTGATAACACTTACCAACACCTTGATAATTCGGGATATCACAAAAAACAAATTCAATAACTGTTTTATTATACATTGCATTTTCATTAATTCTTTCGACAAACAGTGATTTGTCGCACAAACCAACGTTTGGTTTTCCAAAAAAAGTAATGAAAAACGATTTTAAAAAACATAATAACAGCATAAAAATATTAGAAAACTCATTCCGATAAAAATGTCAAAAGCAAAACGATATCCTCCTCCCATCTTATATTTATTTTCATCTTTTCCTTAATTAAAGTAAAGTAAAAAAATGCTTCACAGTTCATTGTATGAAACGACTTTGCCATATGTTCCAAAATCTTGACTCATTCCACGGCTAAAAGGGATGAACGAGAGGGGTGTTTTCAAGATAGTTTACCAGCCTAGGGTAAAGTTTAAGATTGTAAGGGTAAGAGAGACCATGCACGTAAAAAAGTACGTGACAATCTGCTATTCGTGGTCATTTATGGTCAATCTTGGTCCATAATTCGCACTTTTTGAGCAGACGCTCTTGGATATGTTGACCAGGCCCAGTCAGATTTTAAGAATTGCCTATATTTCATTCCTTTCCTCCTAGATCAGTCTGGTTGGCACTACCATTGAGTTTCGTAGCAGTGTCACTTTGCTCAATATGTGGAGCTGTTATATTTGCATACTATGCAGGCTGTGATCCAAAATCACGGAAGGCAATAACTAGTTCCGACCAGGTAATACGTCCGTTATGAAAATAGGGCCACTACATGCGTACGTGGAGCTCTTACAAAGAATTTTAAATTATCATTTAGTTACCATTGTATCTGTATAGTGTATCTGTATATAACATATACATATAACTCCACAGGCAAATTAATTGACACCTCCCCTCATAGTACAATGTTGGCTACATCTTAGCAAAAGTAGCCGGAGCAGAGAGGAGTTATAGTAATAGTAATATTTTTGCTGCGCCATGATTGCATATACAGTAAGGTGACCATCAACTGAACGACTGCATTTCACCACGGAGTCGGCTCAGGACTCGACACTCGTAGCCTTTCTCCGCGGTTACTCATGTACATGTACACTGTTGTACATGGAAGGTTAACAGCTGTGCATGTGTGTGTGTATACGAGTTAATAATCGAGAAAGGAGGCTTTTATCCGCATACATCCGTGCAGACCATTCGACGCTAGAATAACTATAGGGCTAGTATGTGATATGTATAATCGGTCACTGGCGTTTCTCATGTATATTTGCTTTTCAGGTATTGCCGTATTTTGTAATGGATGTAATTGGACATCTCCATGGTCTACCAGGCGTCTTTCTTGCTTGTTTGTTCAGTGGAACATTAAGGTATCCACAAATTAAGATGTTTTGCAAAAGATGACATTTTTCAAGTTGTGTGATATTCTTGCTGGTCTGACCACGAGCAATGACCGCTTGTATAAAACTGTTAACTACTTTTTAACCACTCTTTTGTAGTTAACTTGTAGTTAACTCTTAAACACCGCGCATTTTGATTGGTTAAATTTCGCACCAATTGTATATAGTTAACTTTAACTACTTTTTATACAACCACCCCCAGGTCTAAAACTACAAATGGCCGAGCTGGAATTCAGTTTGCGGTGTATAATTGCTTGTTTTATTCTGTGTATTTTATAACACTATTGTAAAAACATTGGTAATGTGAAGCACGAATCCATGTAAAATTCCTGATTCGAAAATGTACATTTTACGAGATATTAAGTACTTTTACCCCGAAAACGGATTACAATTTGCCTTTTTTCGTAGGCTCCCAGCCTACAGTACATGTAAGTTTATCATTTCCTGGCATTACCTATTTATGTATATTGATTATAATTATATTTACTATTTTTCAAGCACTCTTTCTTCTGGGTTGAACTCTTTGGCTGCAGTATTTTTAGAAGATTTTATAAAACCTTTTGTGAATCATCGGAATTTCAATATCTCTGAAATAAAGTTGACGCAGTTGTCGAAATTTATAGGTAAAGACGATTTTATAATTATTCCCATTGTCCATTATTATTAATTTTGGTAGTCAAGCTCCAAGACTACCACTTGCCATTATGCCCGAGCTACTCCAAACACTGAAAATGGCAGAACGTTTTCGATATGTCCTATTGAATATACCGAGTATACCCCCAAGGCCACAATTATGGCATTATGTCACCCCTTTGCCCGCAACGTCCTTCCCAGACTTTTGCCCCATGTGAAACATCGATAACTACACTATCATTTTGCACTGATTTTCAGTAAACCTTGCTGTATTGTATCAACCGCATTCACACAAAAATATAAATATTGATCTTTATCTTCGTCACAATTTTACTATTTTTCAAATATTTGTATCATAATTTTAGCTGCACTATTGGGTCTGATCACAGTTGGATTGTCATTTTCAGCTGGATCACTGGGAACTATTTTGCAGGTATATTTTCTTTTCTTATTTTATTCGTAGGTTTCGTGAATAAAGAAAATTAAGGTTCATATATAATCCACGTATCCTGGTTTTGGAGGTTTAGTATACCTGCATGGTTCCAACAATAAAAATCAACCTCTGGAGCCAGGGTAGAGGTTTAGCGAGGTCAGAGGCGAACTGTGTGTAGTCTACTTTACACTCTGCTGTATTAAGATGATTTCATTTTAAATTATCAAGTCTTTTTACCAAATTTCTGGTGTTGCTGGCGGTCCTGTGGTTGCAGTCTACTCGATGGGGATGTTCACTAAATTTGCAAACAAAAAGGTACTATTACTTCTCTTCAAGTTGCAAACATCTCTTCCGAATTATAGTAGTTATATGTATTCGGATTAAATAGTTGTGTAGTGTACTGCATTAGTAATGCATAATATTTTCTAGGGAGCTTACATTGGTCTTGCCAGTGGACTTACTTTTGGTTTATTTGTCGCTATTGGTGCTAAGATTCATAAACCACCCTTGTCAATACCAAAGGTTTCTATTGATCAGTGTTCTGAAGCAAATCTGACTCTGACAGTTGCAAATAAAACAAAGTAAGTGAGAGATTATTTATGGGGAGTTCAAGATAGTCTCGTGACAAAAGGTTGGGTGTTATTACAACACATGAATAAAGACTCCCTATAGTTGAAATATTTGCTCCCTAAAAACACTCAGTGACAATACATTGCATACAACTTACCGAATTATCATACTCGAATAATAAAGGTTATTATTTTTTGTCTGTCTGAATAGGAGGATATATGATGGTTTAGATATTTACAAAATATCTCCATTCTGGTACAGTTTTTACTGCTTTTTCATAACATTCATTGTTGGTCTACTGGTTAGCTTTCTATGGAAAGGTAAAAAGTTATCTCTCGTATATAATTTTACCCACACTGCTTTGTTGGCATTACTTGTTCCCAACTTGTAAGCAGTATAGTATTGTAGTAGAAAATGTAATAAAATTAAATAAATAAGACAAGTTACAATGTCTTTTTTCTCCAGCTTCCTTTGCAGGTTGTGATCACAAGAAGTGTATATTTCAACTATGATCCCATCCATTTATTGTTTGTTCTCAAATACTTTATGTTTAGCAGAGGTTCCAAAATCAATGAAGGAAGCTGAATTGTTACCTTTATTAAAGACCTTTCTCGATCGTGGACACTTTCCTAATTATAGACCTTCCTTTTATTTCTAGACCTTCCTTATTATATAGTAGGCCAAAATTATATTGTATATAGTGCATAATTTAAAGCGATTTGATATGTTACAACTGGTTATGTAAACACGATTTTCTTGTATCCCCTTTGATGTAGATAATGAACAACATGTTGACCCAAGGCTCTTATTTAAGTGGAAACGTTTACTTCCTGCAAAGTTTACTGGCATGAATGATGTACAAGATGAACAAGATGAGAAAATCGTTCTTCACGATCAGGTAATCATAGTACTGGAGACGATTGAGCGAAGCATGTACAGCCAATCTCGTACCCTGAACCCGAGATCCCTTGGGAAAAGGACCGCAGGCTCAGGGGTACGAGATTGGTGTGTAGCGTCAGCGGTTGATAATTCGGAATTGATGACTTTTCAATGTAATTAGTGTTCTTAGCCCAGAGAACACAATGGTATTTTTTCGTCTAAAAATTAACCAATTTCTCCTAATATAGGATTCTGGTAAACAACAATCTGTTAATGCAACTGAAGACAAACGTAAACACGATTCCATGGTGTTAGTGAACTCTAGTCCTGTAGAAGAAATGTCGACAAACCTGTAAAAAAATATTTATTGCATACATAAACTAAACACAGAGCAAACACAATACGTTCACTCGTACAACTGGCGGAAGTAATTTTCCTTAATTTAAGCCATTACGTTACCGTTTGAAGAAAAATATATTTTTAAGGGTCCTCGATAGTATGTACGTCATTCCGTACCTATCCACTGTATTTTGAGATGCATATTGATAAGTATATGCATCTTCGCCGCAACCTCCCCAAGAATCCCCGCGCGCCTAGCTCACCCAGAGCTCTGAACGCTATTAATTACTAAAGAGCCTGGGTACGAGGCTGGGATATAGCTATTATTGCCCTCCTGATGAAAAAGCCCTGCGTACGGCCCTGAGTATACTGCACATAATAAATATATATTGAATATTAATTTTCAATTTTACAAATTGGAATAATATATTTGAATAAATTTAGTAGAGATTTTATGCATGTATTTATACGGTTAAAGTAAAAGTGACTATAACAAGGTTCGTTTATGGCAATACATTTCACCGGCCAACAACGCGGGGCGTGACGAAGCAAAATCATGCTTGACTGCACAACGTGACCGGCGTCTGTCCGACCGTTATTTCAAACCACGTCGTACATTTCCTGCATTTCGTGCCATAAATATATAGTATACGCTTTATATATGGTGAAGAAACTGGAAGATGTATAGGTTATATTTATCATTTATAGACCCGGAGTGAGGGTGGTTCGGCGAAATATTACTCCGAAGTTATGATGTCGTAAAGCACAGATTCACAACAGACCTGTTGTCACTGATCAACAATCAGTACTGTTGCAAATTATGTCCGGGCGGGGCAGGAAATGCGTCTCATATTTTTTATTCTCATTTTTGTTAACTTGGTACCCATTTTTAATGAGTGATTATCTTTAATCTATAGCTTATGATCTATCATTGCTTGCACATTGCAGATATACATCGTATCCTATTTTTCATCACTTGGGCGTCCTGCGACTTTTCGGCTGGTGCGAAAAACTCGTTCCCAGGCTCTTTCCTCTTGTGGAGCACAAGAGGAAAGAGCCTGGGAACGAGGTTGTGTTAACGTAGCCAAACGTAGCCTAAATTTCGTCGTTCCCAGGTCTTCTGCGCTTGTTTAATGTGCGTAATCTTTGCCTGTTCTAAATTCCACCCCAAGCGGTGTGCACATCACGACGCTAATTGAGGAAGCACTTCAATCATGGATAATAAAATATATGGATAGGAAACTAGCTGACGTGATCTAATGTTTTCAATGGGCTGATGGCGTGATTGGATGTTGAAACCTAGTTGCAAACCAAATTCTAAAAGCGGCATGTTTAGCAATAATACAGTTAAACATTTTAGTCAAAGAGCTAATGAATATAACTACGCCATTCTACGATGAAATCTCTAAGTATTCCCAGTCAATTTTAGCAAATATTTCAAGCACTAAACAGTGAAAAATGCATCCCAAATTTCGTTAAAATTGGGGACGCCAACTTCGTAGCTACAAATGTAAAAAAAAATACAAAACAAAGACGAAAAACATTTACCTTCAATACTTTGTCGTGGCTTAGGCATGTTTTTTAAAACGATTAGACAGGGTGCGATAATTCGCGTACCAACGTACCGGAGGTACGCCAAATTTATGGTCTGGTACTTCTTTGTTTTTAGGCAAGTACCACGTAGGTACGCGGAAATTTGCTATTCGCGTACTTACATTTTCCTCCTAGCAATAACTATCAGACCTGCCAAAGTATTCGAAACCGTGAAGAACTTTAGCTGTACATGTAAATTCCACGCATCCGACATATTTTGGGATAAAAAAGCCAAAAGGTTATCTTTGCGCTTGATCAAAAAATTTATCGTTTTCGTCCGACTGAAAAAAAATCGCTCGGGTGAGCGATTTTAAAATCGTTATCGTCAAACGCCGATAATGCCAAAACCATGAAAAAATACTAAAAAAAAAATTTATTTCCGACCTACCTACCCTAATTTTTTCGCGATATGAAACCGGAACCAGTAAACTATAGGTATAAAAACGCATGACTCGAAAGTAGTCTTAGGTACGTCTTGACTCTTAAGTTTGTACCAGACCAAGTACGCGGCAAAAGTTGTCGGAGTACCAGTCAGGTACGGCTAAAAATATTGAATTATCGCACCCTGGATTAGACCAGTTGATGCTTCAATATTACTCTTTTAAAGCGGAAAGTATAGCGAAACAACAAAAATGCTGAGAAGATTGCAACTATCCATTTATTTTATTATCCATGCTTCAATACACCCTTCCGGAAAGTACTTAACCTTGGCTATAAAGCCTCGTTTTCGTTATTTAGATATTGGGTTTAAAGCCCTTTATCTTGTTACAGGTGGACACATTTATACGAACTCGTACTGTTATATCAGACAATATAAAAGACCTTCATGTAATTAAATCATCGGTAAGAAGATAAAAGTCACTAAAGCCGATATCTCAATCCCGAAAACGAGGCTCTATGATGACCAAGGAAATTTGAAACTCGGCATGACGTCTGTGGTGCTTTTGAAGTTGCATGAATAATAAATATCCTTGATCACTATTGAGTATTGTGGTTAAATCACAACATTTACGAAAGATTAAAAACTCTAGCTAACACATAATGAAAGCAATTGCAATGCGTGTCTGTATATTCATATTCAAAGTGTTTTTGAACAACAAGTCAAAACGATTTTATTTTCACAATTTTCATGATTCTTAGATACACACAAAAAGCAGTTGTACCCTGCTGGGATATTATGGTGTAGCAATTTTAGTCTATAGAACAAATAATTTGGAACATTTTTGCAGGCACATTTACCCTCCTTGTCCAATATAGGTGTGTTTTACTAAGCACTATCGTGCAGCAGATGGTGGGCAACCTTGTCATTATTTGTATTGATCTAGGCTACGTTTACACTTGTACCGGATAGCTTTCCGTAGCGATGTGAAAAACACCTATCCGTACCTTTTAGGAATGCTATTGTTGGAGGAATAGACCTTTCTCCTTTTAAGTGAAATTTTTATCTAGACTAGCCTGCGGACAAAAATTTCATCACAGCTTGAGAGAGCATCACAAAATTAGTAATATTCCGAAGTTTCGTTGCAAAATGTTTACCCTGGAACCAGAGGGTATTTATTTTCGCCTGTAAAAAACCTCTGGGCCAGGGTACAAAATGTTGTAAAATGGGGATAATATAGCCTTGCGAAGTTTGCTGTTTTTCAGTCATTTTGTATTACAAATGGGAAATTGATGATCAGTTTGATCATCTGATTATCAATTTCCCGTTTGTAATGCAAAATGACTGAAAAACGGCAAACTTCGCAAGGCTATATTATCCGCATTTTACAACATTTTGCAACGAAACTTCGGAATATTACTAATTTTGCGATGCTCTTTCAAGCTGTGATGAAATTTTTGTCCAGACTTGTCTAGATCAAAATTTCACTTAAAAGGGGAAAGGTCTATTATTCCAACGGAGAGATGTTGTTTCGCTCAGCTTCTGAAAGTTGTACATTTCGTATCGGATAGGTGCTTTTTCACGCCGCTACGGAAAGGTATCCGCTGTAGTGTAAACGTAGCGCCAGAGAGTAGAGGTCCAGACTGTTCTGTTTGATGAAAAATAAGTGGATATTAAGTTTATTTTCCTTGCCCCTGTACTTGGCAACATTTCTGAAGTTGACCACTATCTGCTGCATGCACATCACTTTTAGGCCCCTTTAATATGAGACCGGGACGAAGTCAAACCGGAATGAAAATTAAAATTATCAACATGTTTACATGAGACAGGTACGAAAATCACAAAATTTTCAATATATTCCTCTTGCCAAGCAATTTTCGTTTTTAGGTAGCTTTTGCTAGCATGTGTTGTTCCAATGTCAAGGTTACAGCCGAGACCGGTCTGAAATATATTTGTGTTTACATTCATCCCGGTCTGAATTCATGCCGGTCTGAAGTCAAGTCGGTTCGGTCCAGCAGGCGGAATGACTTGATACCGGTGACCCTCTGCCGGTGACCGGTCTGAGTTATTTTCGTTCCGGTCTCATGTAAACATCTATTATAAATAATACTATGACCGAAACGAAATGGTCCCGGTTTGACTTCGTTCCGTCCTCATGTAAACGGGGCCTTACACTGATTATCTCAACTCATTAACAATTCACGACTAAATTAGCCAACCAAATTGCTTTATTTTACTCACATCAATTATTATATACACAAGGTCTGGATATGAGGTATTCTGCAATCTGATTGGTTCTCTACTAGCAGGATATTTAACAATTATTCGCCGAAGGCGAGGTGATTATCGGGGAACATGGTTAGGGTTCAATATGTGTCGCGATTTTATCGTATCGTAGCCTGAAAACAGACCTACGTTTCGCCCGCCCTAAAATTCGCGGGTCGCGAAACGTAGGTCTGTTTTCAGGCCCTGTCGATAATTTCGGACGTGTTTAACAATTTACAACAATTTACGTAAATTCAAAGGTGGAGCTCATGTTGAATATGAGCGATCGGCTATCGGCTCATATTCGACTCGACTTCGTAGAATAATGTTAAACAGCCCTCTAAGTGGATATCAAATAAGTGCATGTTAATTATTAACAACAACAATACCATTTGTTTCAAAGTGCTTATTTAGCTATCGTCACAGAGTTACTTCCATATTAAAGCTCTTTCTATTTTACGAGTATTAAATTAATGCTGCACTGATTAGACCTAAACCGTGCTATGGCTACTATATACAATTGCCTAAATAACGTTTAATCTCAAGACAAGAAAGAATTTTTTCTTCACTCATTATCAGACCAATAGTAATCCTCGTGCTCTTCATTGTCCATCGCAGTCGACCTTTGGATATTAAAACTATAGTCCACACCACCTGTCATGCTCTTGTTGCTTGGTTTCTTCGTCAGCGGTGTGCGAGACTCGATCTACATAATAAAGTCCAAAAATTATTCAGGTTGTCGCAATAGTGTTGTCATAGAATAAAGATCCATATAGAAGGGCCACTTACGTCGGAAGCTTTGAAGTTTCTGTCCTCGCGCATGTCGCATTACGCATGTTGGCCGCCATCTTCCTAGCCAGTCAATGACATTTTCTGGCCAATAAACACGCTGTACTGGCTGGCTGCTCCGCCTTCTGGCCAGTAAACTGCATATTTTTGCATAAAAAAACGCGGACACGTTGCACCGCTGAGTGGCCCTTCTGTTACTGATCTTTATTCTGTGGTGTTGTTTCAAAACACTAAGGTATCAGCCCGGTATTTGTTGAATATTAATTTATTTTCTTCGGAAGTTTCATCAAAATTCAAACAGGGTCATCACAAAGCCAAAGGAACAGGTTCTGTGATTGGTCGATTATAACAATCAAACACAATAAAACAATATATTTCTAAAGAACGAGTCAACAAACACTGATAACTTTTGTTTGCAATCATACACCCGCGGCCATTATCATGGTATTAGGGAGCTTAACAAGCGACGTTTTGTCAACACGGACGGCCTCTTGCCAATGGGGGACTGGATTAAAAATTGTTTTTGTGTCAGTTTGTGGTGATCTTCAACATTGATTTTTAAAATTGTTTGCTTCCTTACACGAGCGCTATGATGCAAAATATGCTGTTGTGGTGGCCCTGCCTTAGTTGGCAAAGCTAAATAAATTTTTTAAACTAGGAGTTACTATCGCAAGGAAAGTGCTGCCTTTTTTGCCACATCAACTGAATGCAAAACCACTCCAAAGGGGAGTTTACTTTTGACCCAATGAACTTATTCTTAAATTGCGTGCACGGAACATGAGTAAATAACCAACATGAAAAAGTTGCCATTGGGTCAAAAGTGGATAAACGGCATACCCATTAGCTGACAATGCACCCCACTTTAGTATTAACTCTGTCTAACGCCAGACAAATTTACACTCTGTAACGCCAGACGATTTTACTTGTCAGTTGTACTGTCAGTATCTGCTAATGTCTCTTATTAACCGCCACTGGCTGGCAATGCGCCGTACTTTAATAGTTACTGCCTATCCACTACCTGTAGGAAGCAATTTTGTATTGGGGGAGCTGATTAGTCAGGGGCGATTATTAGGTAATTATATCCCTCTCAAACTTCACAGATTATCGCTAGTTTACAAGTTGTTTTTTTTGGGGGGGGACGGGGCTGAAGACCCCAGATCCCCGGTTGCTACGGCCCTGCTATCAACGCCAGACAATTTTACTCGTCAGTGCCAGTAAACGACTTAATTTCTCGTCACCCCAATTTAAATTTTTACGATTTTTGTTGTTTCTAATTGCAGATTTTAACTTTAAAGTATAGATTTTAATTCTGAAAATCAAGATTAAGATATTACAATTTATATTTAAAAAATCTAAATTTACAAAAACATTACTGATCAGTAATACCCCCGCCCCAATCTTGATCCATCCATCACTGGGCCTGGGCCTCATCAGACGTTGCTCATTCGTTGTCCTTTTCAAGACCCCAGCACGTCGCTGGAGTCAATATGAGTAAAATACTCCTTGTATTAAAGCGCTTTCGTGTAGGAAGTTTCGTTTGAATAAGGCGAGTAGAAATATTTATTTTGAATTTTTCAAAATATAGGGTTTTTACTCGCACGCGCGCGCCACGTGTATGCTTGCGTGTATGCGTATATAGCCCGATGCACGTGCAAACCATGCCACTGGCAGTACTTTGACCTGTAGAATCGATTTCCGGTTTTTCCAAACCCCTAGGATGTAAACAGCTGTTTTGATGTAGGAACGTTTCACGGGCCGCGCTAAAAATATAAATATTCTGTAAATACCGAAATAAAAGATGAAAATCTGAAGACACAAGCTTGAAAATAACACTGTGAATAGTGTTTTGGATTCTGGTTCGAATGAGACTATAACGAAAAAGATATGTCCAAAGGGGCCGAAGTTATGTTCAGCGAAATGTATGGCTAGTTTACATTGTTCGTTTATATATAATGAAATATGATACCATACCTTACTTGTTAAAATTCGCGTCGTACTATTATTGTATTAATACTAGGCAAATAAGAACCATGCAATAAGTGTTTTAGTTCTTGTTATTTTAAACGCACGCTTTATCTTTACTACCACAACGTTTTTCGCGCGGATTATATTTCGCGCAGTGCTAAAATTTGCTCACCCAGCGCTGCGCGAATTCTAGTACTGCGCGAATTTTAATACTGTAAGACATATTGTGCCATTGTGGACATTTGACTAATGTCAAAATAAAATTATAATGACAATACATTACTCGACTTTGAACAAACAATAGTTTATAAATTCTTAAACTCTTTCATATACATAGTAGCCAGCGATTTGTAGTAGGTAGCCATAAAGTAGCCAAGTAGGTAGCTGGTAGCATGAACCCAGGCTGTTACCCTCGATATTCGCAACTTTATTAAACCGGTTCATCACATCGATAAATAAACACTAAGTATATGAACTAAACATACAGATATTACTACTTTATGTACTGAAAATTTCAGGTGAAACACTTAAAAGACACATATTTGAGCAGCCTGCTCGCATCATTGAAGAAAATTTTGTTGAACAACCCCCTCATTTTACAAACCAACTTGAATACTTAATGAGCCCCCTGGAATGCCGAAATCTCCACCGAGTGAAAATCGCTATTCGACTATACATAACTCGGCCGCGGGGACTGGACACGAAAAAGCAAGAACGTCATGTAACGTTAAGAATAGTGTGCTGCCGAGCTGAGGCTCGGCAGCAAAAAATGCCGTCAAAATTAGAATTTTCGGGTGACGTCCGTGTTGAGAACGTCGCTTGCTTAAGCTCACTAATATATCGTTATTACCCTAGCATTTGCCTTGCCTTCTTAGGGACCGGTCATTATTTATGGCGGGGGAGAGGGGGGGGCACTGAGGAGAAACATTTTCTTGGCCAAATTTTTTAGTGACCCAACCTTCAAAAAAAAATATTTTCTCCACCCAACCCCAGCACTCATTCAAAAATCTTAGACCCAACCTAACTTAATTTTGTCAATTTACTTACTTAAAAGCTAAATTGACTTATTTGAGTTTTGAGAGAACAAAAAAGCCAGCAAGTATGAACTCTGACACTTTATCATGACTGTTATGGCAGGTTCAAATGGATTACTTCGCAAATCGATATATAAAGTAAATGATATTTATTCGATTTTAATAAAACAAATAATACAAATATTTTAGTATTTTCCAACTTAATGATTATTACTTTACCATCCCTTGGCTTGGTGAATTTTTATTCAACCCACCCATTTCCACCCATAAAATTTTGTTTACCCACCCATAAACCTAATAAAACACTCCTGCTCGTTTATTAAACAGTACATAAGTCATACTTTCAGAATAATATCAGCGGCCACGTCGCGAAATGTTAGGGAGAGGGCGAATTTAGGTTGGCGAGTTACGGCCACCTTTTGTTGCTGGAAAAGTTTTTTAAACTTCTGTGCCTTCAATTCCATGCAATTCGTAACTTGATAGTATAACTTATTGTGAAAGTTTAAAGTTTGTTCGTCAAAGTATAAATAAGAATCCTTGGATGGAAAAACCTACCGTCTTACGCTGCATATTACGTAGTTTTCGTCTTTTTAACTGATTGACATAACGATCAACATCATCTCTGCGCAAAATAAATTATTGTATTTTTTAGTATACTCTAATAATGTCTAGGTCCAATAATGGTAAATAGCCGGTCTCAGGCGGTCTGGGATAAATTGTTGCCAGTCAGCGTTTTAGCGATTGAGTCCAGTCCTCTTATCTGATATACTTAAAAAAAACTGCATTCATAATCATTCATATAATCATAAAAAAACTGCATTCATAATCTACAGTACCATCATTAAGTTCCACTATGATAAACTACATTATAACAATATCTATATGAACCAACACATTTCATCGCATGGGTCTACTTTTCTATATCACTGTAGTAAGCTAAATTATATATGACCAGAATCATTGGGCAATACGAACACCAAATAAAATTATAACAATTTCGCGAGATTCCAGCTTTCATTATTCTTGATTCTTCCCCGCTTCCCTAAAATAGCCGGTCTGGGATAAACTGGTGCCAGTCAGCGTTTTAGCGATTGAGTACAGTCCTCAGTCTTATCTGATATCCGTTTATCGGTTTGTCAGGTTATACGTTTATCCTGCTATTAGCCATTTCCCAAAGTCCTGGATCGCGCAAATCCCATGTTGGAGGGACAAAAATATGGCAGCACACATTTAAATTAAAAGTTTAATGTAAAAAGGAGATATTTCATTTTTGGTCGTCTAAAAAGTTGATATTTGATAGTAGATACTTCTACTCTTTCATATATTTGACGCCTATCACCATATATTTTGTCCCTCCAAACGATCCTAGAATGCACTGTGATCTAGCTCTTTTGGGAAAAGGCTAATTGGGTATACCTGTGTTTTCTAATATGCCAAACTGTTTCATAGAATGAATAATTTTTGTAAAATTTTGAAATAGAACATACTCATTTATTTCCGGAGTAAGGGGTAAAAATCTTTCCATATTTATCACATTAACGATAAATTAACAATAGCAAAGTTGAAACGACATAAATAATAAAAATGCCGAGCAATTGTAATTTTTTTGTAGTAAAAGCATCAGAAATTGTCCATATATTTGAAAAGCTAACTCCTAAACTTTGGCCATATTAAAACTTATTACCACTCCAGTTATATAATCACTAACATAATATATATAGTAAACTTTCAGTTTTTGACGACGTTAATGACAAATTGCTTCAACATCAACCTCGTATCTTTCAAATACCACAAGTGGATGCGAAATCGGCCCGACAAATGACAGTACATAAACAATTACTTAAACGATGGAAATATATCTTCGGCCGAGCATATAGAAAAATTACATCTTTGAAGTGATAATTTACCTATTTACAATGTCCAGTAAGCCTGGAGTCATGATGCCAATTTGAGATTTTCCCGTCGATAGCGGTCCTTTTGGTCGCAGACGGTTCATCGGTGTTCTACTGCAATCTTTATCATGGAAGCCGTCAGCAACATCAACTGAGTTGTCCATATAAACTGGGGATACTCTGTGCTAGAATGGGAAATTACCGGAAATACAAGTAGGATTTACTATCGCAAGGAAAGTGCTGCCTCAAACAGGGACCGCCAGGATGCACATGGACATGCATGTTCATTTTCGTCCAAACTTTACTTTCTTTTATAAAACCTCGAGGAGAAACAGAGAATATCTGACAAAAATTCAATAAACATGAATCATGCATGTAAATACCTGTAGCTTTCTGCTAACTTTTTTGCTTCTAAATGGAGTTCCTTCGAAGGCGTCATCTTCATATCCTTCATCCTGTTGTTCCAACATATCTCGTAATTCTCGCTTCCGAGCTAGTGTCCCTGTTTTCGATGACAACTTTCCTGTATCAACTGGTCAGAAACAATTTATTTATTACATGGCTGTGCAGTCCATCCGCAAAATGCAGAATTTTGATTGGTTTTTACATGAGCGTTCAGAAAACCAACGGTACGGACTTTCCCAATAAAATAAAATTCCATCGTCAGGAGGGTAGTAACAAACTCATTTTAAACATTTTATATGGCTGAGTTAGAGCAGACCGTGTTCGCCATTGTTGGGTCGTAAATCGTGAAGGAACAAAAGATGTTAACAAGTGAAGTAGTGATTTAGTGAAGTAAAAGTACTGTGTTATAATAATAATAATAACAACTTTATTTCAGGAGGGTGGCATGACATGGCAGCGATAGGCTGATAACTTGTGGCCCCATAATTACCTCATAATTACAAGATAAGAAAGAAATATAAAGTTACATCAATAATATACGGATAAAAGTTAACCCATTTGTGTTTTTACTTCACTAAATTAAATTCACTCCTTCGCTTGTTGCCGTCTGTTTTCCCCGTGCGGTTTGCCACCCAAAAATGGCGGGAAAAGCCTGGTCGCATTGCGTGAGAAAGACTAATTATGCAAATTTTGAAAAAGGTGTTGAAGCAACAATCGGGCGATGGACTTTAGAGAAATCCTTCGTCATTGTTCATAAAGAACAATATCGAAAAAATTTTCAAGTAACACATTTACGGAAGAGTAAGAAATTAACGGAAGTCAACGTTCTGGTGAGCGACAAAATTGGCGTAACTTGGCAACTAATTTTGATTTCAAGGAAATTGTTGGAAGTTGCAGCTGTTTTGCTGTCCGTATTACTTCACCGTTCTTATAAACAAGCTCTCACCTTTTAATTTCTTCGAATGCTGTGTTTGGGTTTCACTTGGACGCCTACAGAGAAAAACTGTATTTAAAGGGATATGACAATAAAATTCCGTTTGCTTCACTTGGGAGAACTTTTAACATTATAGATAAAACTCTAACTTGTACAAAATTTCAAATCTTGTTATTTTGGGCTCATAATGATCAGTGGCTATCTAGATAAAAATTGCGTAATCCTGGTTGTGACGCATATACGTGCAACAACAATCCACCAAGAAGGTGGACAGCTTACAACATGGTTAATGATAATTTCGGTCAAAATGTTTTAAGAACTAAGCAAGTTTTGAAAAAGCTGCAAGAGAGAAAGATTTGAAAAGCTTATAAGTTTTCCACATAATTTTAAATTAAAAGTTCTTTCAAAAACGACAACTAATTTTATATATTGCCATATTACTTTAATAATTCACCATACGTATTTCCTTATGTATTCACCATACCGTAAACCTCCGATTATAAGCCCCCCCCCGAATATAAGCCCCCCCCGTGTATAAGCCCACCACATGTACTAACGC